CTATACATTTCATGAACTGAGCTGCAATCCTCAAAAACTTAACACTTTTTAGTAAAATTTGTTAGGCAGAAAATTATTATTTTATTTAATATAAGAGTTATATCACTTTAATTCAGCCTTCTGGATATACTGGAATACAAACTCCCATCAGCTAAGTTAGCCTTGTTTCTTAGCCATACTAGGTGGGAACAATGAGGTGTATATTTTAATATATTTGAAGGACATTTGGTTGAAAAAGAATGTTAAGACAGTAAAATTGGCATGTTATGTGAGTCACAAAATATTTTTAAAACGAGCAATTTTAATACCTGTTAAGTGATCATAGCAGTCTTTAAATAGCTTCCAGGAAGACTGTGAACTGCTGCAGTCATTTGAAGCCAATCATATGAGTTCCCTGGCCTGCACTCCTTTTCAAAAAGAATTCTTGATTGCAAATAACATTCTTTTTATATCACCATTTAAGTGGCTAATGTTAAGTACATACCTGTAAGAATGTCAAGGATCTGTGAAAAATTCCAGTTAGAAAGTTAAATACAATCAACTCTTCAAAAGTACTCTGTTCTAGAAAGAACTTGCAGTGCACTCAGCGAATGGAATCACATTAAGGCTAAGTCTGGGTTTATTAATTAGATCACAATAGGCTAGGTTTATAAAATACAATTTCTGAGTGTATATAAACAGAAGTTTAAATAAAATAATGCATAAATTCAGTGTTATTCATGTCTCAGATGAGGAATTAATCCAAAACACAGTTCGTTAAGATAACAGAAACTGTGTTCCAAAATTTTCATTACCCTAACTAAATAACATCATCTGTGTTACTAAGGAGTGCTGTTTGCTGTCATTATATATTCTGGTGTCTTGCCTGTCTGTGTGGTGGTGGGTGGTCTTAAGAGATTGTTTATACATTCCAATCAAAGAATCACAGACAGGCAAGACACCAGAATATAGAATGATACCAAACAACATTCCTTACTCGCACTGATGATGTTACCTAGTTAGGGTAACAAAATGTCTGCAAGAAAACAAGCAAGTTCAGACACCATCAAGGACCTCTCATTTCAACCCTGAGCTACAAATATTCTCCTTTAAGTAAAGAATATAATGACTGGGCTTAACTCAACTAATCTAACCCCTTCTTGGATGAGAAGCAAAATGTCTTCAAAGAAAAACCAGAAAGTCCACCTGCCTCTTGAAAAAGCACCTTTGGGACAATCAAGACCTGGATGACTGAGAATCTCCATAGACATTCAACTAATCTAACTACAGTAATACTCCAGCATTTGGGATCTGACTAATCGTTGAATTCAATCTTTCTGTTGCCAGCTACTTCCTATACACAAATTTGGGTCTGGTTCTCTTTCAGTTTTCATTCCTGCTGATAGACTGTCAATAGAGTGTTGGCCCCTTTATATCAATTTCCTCCAACATTCTGTTGGGTTGGAAACAATAATATTGATAAGTTAAGGAAAGTAGGCAGAACATGACTTGTGGGATTCTTACCAAGAGCTTCATAATAGCTCCACTCTGGATCATGTAACCAGGAAAAAAGGAGGATTTAGAATGGAACAGTCATCAACCGTCCAAATGCCTTTCCTATAGGGGTGCACTGGGGGCATTTTCCCCCCCTTGCTGCTCCCAAGAAGATATGTCCCATTTGTAAAAACCTATTTTTCTTCCACCAATTTCTCCCCCAACACAAGTTTGGTCCTTTTTAATTCAGTTTTTGGAGTTATTCTGCTGGTAGAGTGGCATGATGACTGTGTATATGATTCTGGTTTCCACATTCTGTAATCTAAGGGATTGGTTTGGACAAAACTCAGCAGCACTTTTTTGTGTGGCTTGTTGATAAAAGTAGGATCGGCAACATGATCGCCAACGTTGGATGACGGATATGGCACAGAAGAAAAAGGTGGCTGGAAAGAAAAAAAGACCAAAGTGCTTGACTGATTATGTATTACAGAATTCTTGGTAATAAAAAGCTATTGCTTTCTAGAGGTTTTTGTTTTTTTTAAACGTCCCAGTCTAGCTCACAGAATTGGCATTTTCTGAAGGTTTCCTAGCCAGGCATTAGTTCAGGGTGGTCAAACTCCCGGCCCGTGGGCCAGATGCGTCATGCGTTGGCCACGCCCACACTTGGTTTAGCAAAGGGGAGAAGTCCCAATACATCACGTGATGCTGCCGTGACGACGTGAATTTGACACCCCTGTATTAGTTACATTTTTTTAGATCAGTAATGATAGACCAATTACTGTGGCCTAACTGGGCTCTATATGCTTAGATTATCAACTGAACAATCTTAAAAGTTGTTTTTGGCCAGTTCGGTACATGCAATGGCTTGAAGCTAACAGACCCTGAAGAGAGAATTGCTACCATGGTTCTGTGGCTCTGCAAATTACCTTGATTAGAAACATTTCATTCTACTTGCTGGAGTTCAATTATCCATGTTTGGTATAAGAGTGACGAATGGAAGTCCCTGAATGTTTTGTGGGTGAGGTGCTGATACCAATCCTATTGTCTCAGTGCTTTCACTCTCAGGTTGTAATTATGTGCACTTCTCAACACAATTTACTTACACTAATGAACACCTGCAAGAATTTTAAATATTACGACTATCTACATTTCATAAAAGCAAAGCACAGCTTTTGTACGTCTGGCTCAAGGGTACGTAACAAGTTTATGTCACAACTGGCTCAGCAACAAAGAAATTTTGAATTATAGTTTCAGTTGCACAGGAATAATGATGACAGCAACAAAAAACATTTTTGTTGCTGACTTTTTCCCTGAATTTAAATTTTGGTTATTTTCAGTTTCTAATAGCAAAGGCTTTCTAAATGACTTTATAACAAACAATAATAAATTCATAATGGTTCAAATTTGAGTTTTCCCAGAATTTATGGCAAACCTTATCCAGAATCCAAAGACAGGTATTTTGACTTTTAAAAATATTTAAAATTAATTTTCCAATTGTTTTTCCTCTGATAGTATTTACCCTGGGAACAGGAAACTGGGAAATCACTCACATCTGACAATAACACAGATGTTTGTTTGATTTTGACACAGCCCAATTCCGGGCATTGACATAATCCAATCCCTCCATCTATTCTTCACATATTCTAAGTGTTCTAAACAATATATCATTATTTTCTACAATGGGAAAAAGCAAGGAAATTTTCTTTTATTTTTCTTCATGAGCATTTTTCCTATTATCCACCCAAAAGTCTGTTTTTTTTAATCATTAACAATCAGATTGCTTACTGATCTGTTCTATTTCTGTTTCTACACATGAACAGATTTATGCTTGAATTTTATTTCCAAAACAACTCTAAGTAGAAATAGGCCCCATTCTCCTTGATTCTTGAGACCCAATTTTTATTTTCTATATCCTTCCAAGTTATGGATTCCTATTTTTATACAATAAGAGATGACACAATCACAACTACCAATATTTAATACATGGTTTAGCCCCTTCATACATAAGTCCACTTACATCTTTACTTCCCTGCACCTATTTATCAACTCCATCCCATAAGGTTGGGCCAGATTTACTACTGTATCATACTCCTTTCCCTTTGTCTTACTTGCACTGACACGCATATTTTTCCTACTATTCTTCCTTGAATTTGTTAATTTATATTCTTTACCTTGTGTTCCTATTACATACCAACTTGCAAATTCCCGTATGGTAAATTGCGGTTTTCACATAAAGTAAGGAAAAGTAACCCCGCCGGAATGAAAAACTCGGAATTCAGTCCTCACTTTCCTGAACTTTTCCGACGGAGAAAAGTTTTCGTTTCTTTGAAAGCAAAGGGGTAAAACTGTTACTTTGGACCTCTCCACACAAGCACGCTGATCTTTCCAGCCACGCGTTGGAAAGGATCCCCGGGAGGGCGGAAGAAAGGAAAGGATGCGCCTTTGCAACGGCCCGGGAAAAGGGAAGCGAGAGGAGATTCAGGTGATGGGGGAGGTGTGTCTACGCGCCCCCCCTTCCGCCGCCCGTTTCAAATATCGCGCGACTCGCGTTTCTCCTCGTTTCCTTTAGGCAGGGGGCGAAAAAAAAAAAGTCACATCCTACCGGCGAAGGGAGCGGGCGGCGCGGTTATGTCCTTCCCGAGGCCGGCCAGGTGCGTCGCTCGCACCCCCTCCCCCTCCTCCCCCCCCCCGACTGGCGCAGGTGAGGTGGGGCGCGCGCGGGCTTCGCCTCCCGCTTGAGCCTCGGCGCGCGGCCGTTTGGCGCAAAGCCTTTCCCGGACGGCGCTGGCACTTTTTTTTTTTCCTCCCGGGGAGTGGAGAAGGGGTGGGGGGACGACGACGACGACAAAAAAAGGGAGGCGGAGCCCGAGTTGGTCTGGCTGGGCTCCGCGATTACCTCCCGCGACGAGAATCCCACGGGAAAGCCTTCAAAACAAAACAAAAAAGCCCTCGGCTTTGCCTCGGTGCTTAGAGCCGCTCTTCGCTCTCCTCCATTGCTGGGGCTTGAAGTCGCGGGGCTCTCTCTCCCTTACAGGACTCCGGATTGTTGGGGGGGGGAAGGGTGGAAAGGGGGGGAGGTGTTTGAAAAACTCGCCCCGCTTTTTTTTTTTTCCTTCGCGTTTACACGCGGCGAAAGGAAACCGCCACGCACCGGCGGTTCCCGGCTTGCGCGCTTGGAAGAGTTCGCCGCAAGGTGTGTGTGTCGGGGGGGGGGACGGGACCCGCATCGGGGGTCCGGTAAGTGGCGTGGAAAGGTGGTAGGACCTGCAAGCGCTTAAGAGTTGCGGGTGGCCTCGAGTGCGGCAGGAAGCGAGCAACGGCCCCTCGAGCCTGGTTTTGTTGCGTTTATCTGCTGAGGGAACAGTCCCTCTTTTCACGCGCGCGCCTCTTTGCGCGCGCGGAGGGGAACGGAGAGCTTTGGGAATACTTGGAGCGAGGGGTGGGGTATCTTTTGGGTAGCAGTTTTCTCTTTTTTTTTTACGCAATCCCGGCTGTGCGGAGGAGGGTTAACTACAAAAAAAAAGAGCGTCTGTGTTGACAATCGACAGCATACCGTAAATATAAGTTGCTGTGACCTCCGTGAGGAAGTTGTGAGCGATTTTGCATTTGATAATCGGTTTGGATTGTAAAGTTTGGCTGGTGCTTCGCTACCGCTTGGAGCCTGCGTGCGTAACTATTGGGAACAAATAATTTCTCCGCCTGGCTGCCTTTCTAACACTCGGGGAGTATCTCGCTGCACGCAGTGGAATGCTGCTGAGTAAACATGCAGAGGCTTGTGCTTTTTGGGGGTAGTAGTAACTGGTTTTTTAGCTGAGCTCCCTCGTTGAAGAGAGCAAATCCAGCATTCTTTTGTCTGGCCGAAATAGAGAGGGAAACGTCTTCTTGCAGTTCGAAAAGTACGATTTTCATTTCTGCTTAATCTTTACAAAATTTCCGATGCAGTGAAAAGCGGTTATCAATTAACTTCTTTTGGTTGCTTTGCAGTTTGCAGTCGGGGAAAAATGTTATCTTGGAAAGCAAATATGAAGAGAGGCAACAAATGTAATCTCGGAATGTCGGTATTCTGCTTGAGAGAGTAAGCAGGACAGATTTTTTTTTTAACTTCCTCTCAAAAAAAAAATCCTTTTGGTGAAGCTGGAAATATTTGGGAAGATGGGGATCCTTGTTTTCCTTCTGATCTGGAGTTTAATCTTAAACTTGACCTATGGACACAGTTTGTTCACGTGTGAGCCTATTATTATCCCAAGATGTTCTCAGATGACTTACAATATGACATTTTTTCCTAATATGATGGGACATTATGATCAGGACACTGCAGCTTCCCACTTGAAGGTGAGTTTTGTCCTTGTACATATTTATAAGCAGTTTTTCTGTAATGCAGATACTTTTTGCAGTACAAAAATGAAAAACTATTTTTTTCTGCCTTTATTACTTTTTATAAATAACTCAAGGTGGTGAACATACATAATATTATTTCCTCCTCCTGTATTCCCCACAATAATAACCCTGTGAGGTGGGTTGGACTGACACAGAGTGAGTGGCCGAAGGTCACATAGTTGGCTTTCATGCCTAAGGTAGGACTGGAACTCATCATCTCCTGGTTTCTAGGCCAGCACCTTGACCGCTAGACCACACTGGCTCTTAATTTATTATTTTAGAGACCTTGATTACTGGTAATTCAAGAAACAGTTTACAACATCCATTATGTATGTCAAGCAATTAATGCAGTGAAAATATATGAGGGCTTTTTTCTATGATGTTTCCTTTTCAGTTTGCTTTTAAATGTATTTTCTGATTTTGTCTATACTTTGACAGCTTGGCTCAGTTCCATTTGCAATGTTTTTGTTGTGTTAGGAGCAAGAGCTGGTAATTGAGTTTTCCAGGGCCTTTTTCAAGATATGGAAACAAAATTTAAAAATTCTGCGTTTGGTTTGTTGGGTACATGAATGAGACAGAACCTTTATTTCAAGTCCTACAAATTGTGATCCATTTAGACCTGTGGGTGCGAGACGATATTTCAGGGGGTGCGAGAAAAGTCCAGGTAAATAATAGGATATTGGCTATATGTTGGCATTTTTATTCCAGGGGGTGCGAGGTTCGAGTGAAATTTCTTTAGGGGTGTGGGGCGAAAAAATGTTGGGAACCACTGATTTAGACTATTGTAAAATATTCTGCATTTTACTTTTTTGAAGAGTGTTGGGAAGATACTGTGGATGAAAAAAGCAGTATTTAGGTTGCCAACTGGTATATTATAATTATGATCATTATGATATTGAAAGATCTGCCTATTAAGTTTTATACATAGGTCAAGGTGTTGATTTACTCTTAATGGTTTAGAGTCTAGCTGTCTGGGGACTGTCTTGTTATGAGTTAGCTCTGCATAAAAGGATTGTGTTAAGCATCCATTTAAAGAAGTGTGATTGTCAGCTGGATTAGGCCTTCCCCGGGAATGCTTTCATTTCAAAATTGACAGCTATTCTTTTAATTTACTTTTTTGAAAGTATAATTTTTAAAATTATTGACACATATCAGTTAATTTTTCATATATAAACTGCACCTTGTTTTTCTAGGATTACCTAATTTGTAGTATGAGCTAATTTGTCTTATATTTTCTTTTTCTTATACTTAAATGTCAATTCCATGAATCATTAAAAATCAATTTAAAATAAAATATTTTAATGTTTTAGAAATCCAATTAACAATTTTTAGCTATTCGGAGATAAGCTTTCACCTGGAAAACAGCTTTTCATGTAGGCTCCCTGAACCTATGTTTAATTTTCTGTATTGGTTCCTCAACCGAGATATTTTAATCATCAGACTAAAAGCTTGGTTTTTACAGCAGGTAACCTCTTATAGGATTTCCTCAGGCCTTCAAGCATCTGCCAGCATAAAAACTAATTGCTATCTATAAAGCTCTAGATGTCAATTGCAGTTGATCTTTTCTTCTGCAATATATCTATTCAAATCTAATAGAAATATGTCTGATGCATTTAAATCATCTGCCCATTAATAATGGCTATCCACTAAATATGTATATTTGAATGTAAGGGAGAGAGTTTTGCAGAAGAAGGGCATGCTGACAATTGAAGGTGGACACAGGATGCTATTGCATGCCTTTATTAACAATTAAAAATATTTGAATAATTGTTCCAATATAATTATAAAAAAGTCATATGTACACATGCAGAAAAATAAATAGCATTTGAGCACTCACTTTATGCCTTGTAAGGTAACTGACGCAAGTCAATACATGTAGAAACAAAGATCAAAGATTAAGCACTGAGCATGCTTTTTTAAAGCTGCAATTTTAAGTACAATTATACAGGAGTAAGTCCAGTTGAACTTGGCAGGGCTTGCTTCTAAGGAAGACTTTAATCAGCAAAATGGGGTGCTCTTAAGGTACCTCTTGGGTTAAGAATTAATGTAGATATTGCAAAACTGCTTTTCATGTAGCCTCCCTCAAAAAGTCCACACCCCAGTCTCCAACTTAGGCTGTTTTTTTACAATTTGGGAGATGATTTTAAGAACCAAAATTGGTATTTTAAATAGGTTGGGGCAGGGAACTAGATTCAGTTTAGAAGTTGAATCCACACCAGTGGGAATTTGGTCAGGGAGTTTAATGGGAGGAAGAGATAAAGTGACAAAAGAGCTGTGTCTCTTGAAGGATTGTGTGCAGAGCTGGGGAGAGGAATACACTTTAATAGTTGATAGGTCCTGGGAGCTGCTGATTGCCCATTGTAGAGACTGGCTGACTGATTCCTGCTTTATGGAACAGCTTAAGGTTGATATAAACTGGATAAATTCAAATAGCAGTGCCTGATTGAGTTAATGGAGCTAGCAAGAATTTACTTGAAGAAGAGGAAGTCCTTGCAAATTTAGATTTGAATAACATGAAGAGGGTCAGAGAAAGGAATAAGAAATACAAGCCTCTCTATAACTGATGGTAGAGAGAAGAATGAAGAAAAAGTGAAAATGGATGGAAATAAGGCTGTTGTTGTGACATCCACGCTTCTGGCATCTTTATCTTCTTGCCCTGAAAACAACTAGGGTTATGTTACAGCAAATGAAGCAAAAGACACAAGATTGGAGTAACAAGTAGCCACGTTCAGTTGATGAGAAATGATGAGGATTTATCATTTCAAAGAAAGGAGGCTCTACAACTGAGGCCCAGTAGAAAAAAACTCTCCATAAAGAAGGCAAATAGAATAGCAAAGCAAATGGGTGAGAATAACAAGATACACAGAAGGTTTTCTGTAATGCTCAGACTCTAACAGCTTTCCAGCCTTTGCAGATGAAATAGTCTATGGGTGTTTAAGGAAAAAGATGGTGCAGACAAGAAATGTTCAGAAAGAATCAATTATGGAGTATAAGAAGACGAGAAGATTCAATGTTAGGAGTTATTGAAACAAGACTATATAGGCAGATCCATCAACTCAGGAAGCAAGCTGTCTTCTAGGAACAAGAAACAAGTGTGTAACACAAGTTCCAAGTGATTCAACTCATAGTTATCCCTATGATAAAAATAAAACAATATGGCAAAGAACAGCTACAAAATATCACCATAGACCAGTGATGGCTAACCTTTTCCATGTTGTGTTGTCAAAATTGTGCTAGTGCGCTCGCATGCTTGCACCCATGATGCAATGCATGCACAACTCCCCCTGCCCCCTGTGCATATGCGCAAACACCTGCACATACATCATGCACCTCTGCACATGTGCACACAACCTTCCCCACATGGCGCATGCCTCTGAGCATGCGTCTCCCCTGCGTGCATCTCCCCCACACATGCACAGCAGATACCTGACAATTAGCTGGCTGGTGGGGGGTGCGTGTGCATGCGCAGTGGGGCTCTTCTAGGCAACCTCTCACATGCCAGCAGAAGTGGCTCTGCATGCCACTTCCGGCACGCATGCCATAGGTTTGCCATTATGGCCATAGACTTTGAAAATCTTGGAAAGAGACTGGGCATCGAGGCTCAGATGATTTTCTTTTTTGAATAATTTTATTAAGGATTATATTAAACAGATAAAATTAACACGGGAACCTCATAAATATTTTTTAAAGAACTAAATATTTTAAAAGTGCAGGAAAAAAGCCTCCCCCCAAAATATTTTTTTTCCTTCATCCCCAACAAGTATATTCAACATTAACAGCATATCACTGTCTCTTAAAATACATCTTTATTCCGCCTTCCCCCATTTTCCATAAATCCACCTCTAAATCTTCAACTCTCCTTATAAACCAGCAAAGGTCCGATAAAAGTTACCAGGCACAAAGAATAACAGTCCACATTTCATTTAAACAACCTCCAATCCCTCATTTAATGATCAAAATCTAACTACAATTATAGATTAGAAAAAGATAAACTGTTAAACATTACCAGCAATTTATGATCTTTATTATCTAGGCATTGATGTATGGAAAATCAACTGAATCATCTTAAGATATTCATGTAGAAGGGAAAATAGGTTTAATAGATGAAATGGAAACTCTCATGACTGATAGATAACTCATAGATAACTCAAACAACATTTGAGGATATACTTTTTGTTTCATTTGGAGTCAGTTTGATTGGTTAAGACACCAGGTTAGAAAGCTGGAGACAGAGTTCTAGTCCCACCTTAGGCACAAAGCCAATTGGGTGACTTTGAGCCAACCACTTACTTCAATTCTAGGAAGGAGGCAACGGCAAACAATGTCAGAAATCCTAGATGGGACTTGATCAGGCAGTCTCTAGTGAAGGCGTGTGTGCACACACACAAACGCACACACAAACAGAAGCAACTGAAGGAAAAGAGGAAGGCAGTTGTACCATAAGTGCAAAAGACCTTTGGAAAACAAAATGCTTCTGTTTCTATGCTTAAAATATCAAGAGTGGATTTGAGTTTAAAAAGTCCACTTTGGGAAGGAACCATATTTATCATTATCACACAACTTCCTGAACATTTTAATGTATATTTAATATTGTAGTGCAGGTTCCCCCAATAATTGATATGTCTGTGCACCTATGCTTCTCCCTACATTGCTAACGTATGTTTAGGTTTTTTTATGTATTTAATATGAATATGATAGTTATATAAAATGTTTTATTCATTGTAGCTATTAATATATGTTGTGCAAAGCACGGCATAATTTGTGTATCCTGTCTTAGAGCATTTTCAGTCTTTCTTCTTCAACAATTCAACTGGTATTTGTTTTCCTTCACTTTTTTTTGGTGTTTGCCAGGAAGTGTGGTTTATTGTTCAATAGAATATTTTCATTTGGCCCGTACAATGGGTACCCTAAATAAAGGAAAATGCTATTGACTTAGACATTTTCTGGGTGGCCATTGGATACAATGAACAAAGTAACATTAATTAGGTAAACATCTATCCTGATGTTTTAGAAAAGGTCACCTGTTGCAAGCAGGAGGAAGAGATCAAACCTGTGGCATATTAAGCATTAGAACTATGGATGTTTAATTAAATGTTCAGTGTGATTATACAAGAGAAATGACTTCAAATATACAGCTTATAAGCTTTGCCATAGAAACCTGGACTATAATTAATGGGACCAATTAATATGCCTCATCTACAAGTGCAGGTGGATATGAAAACATCTGCTTCCCCTTTCTTGCTCTCAATCCCCCATGGCATTTAATGAATGGAGTCAATCTGTGTGTACAATCTATGTGTTAAAGGTGAGGAGATTAGTACCTCACCTTACCCCTGCAGCATAACATTTTCAACCTCTGACCGCGTTCCCTCCCTCCCCCCCTAGAATTTTAATTTGGGTTCATAGTAAAACCTGTTTGCTACACTTCAACTGTTGCTAGAAACCTCAGTGAAATTACGTTGCTGGTATCTTTTTCTTGTCAGAACTGAAGTTTCAGAAGAAGTTGATTGAGAGATAAAAACCCATTCTATCAGGGCTTTTCGTAAAAAGTTGATGGGATTTTTGGGGTGGGGTCAGTCTTACTTAAAGGTTATAGTTTGGAAGTCATTCTTTTATGGAAGGTCTGTAACAAGCTGGTAGTCTTTCAGAAAAGGAAAGGGAATTTTTTTTCTTTGTACGCTAATCCACATCTCATTTTCTTCTCCCAAAGCTCTTCCTTCCTCTTCTGAATCTTAAGTGCTCCCCAGATGTCCATGCATTTCTGTGCAAAGCCTTTGTGCCTGCTTGCTTTGAACAAACACGTGTTGTTCACCCTTGCCGGAGCCTTTGTGCAAGAGTGTATGAGGACTGTAAAAAGATGATAGACATGTTTGAAATTGGGTGGCCTAAGGAACTTGAATGTAGCAGGTACAGTGCTTTCCATTTTTTCTCTCTCATTTCTATTTGTTGAATTTATACTCTGTGGCAGTCTCTTGATTCAGCAATGTACAAGAGATTAAAAATAAAAAAATAAAACAGTCATAACAGAATTCAAACACAAGCAACATAAAAAAGAATAAAAATTAACCACTATTTCTACTAGAATTGACTTAGGTCTTATGTACAGCTGAATATCTCTTCATATATGGCTCTCTGTTTTTGCACCCAGTTAAAACCGCATCAAATAATTGCTCCATTTATATCATATCTGATACCCCAAACTCTCTCCATAGTCCCTCATTTTTGGGGACAGAGGGAAAATAATTTTATGGATTGGGTACCTGCGTGCTTGATCATTAAATTAGCACTCAGGTTTCTTCCCAAAATTCATGTCTTTGAACAGTCTTCCTTTTTCAGGGAACTCTCAACACATCGTGAAAACATAATTAAAGCTAAATTAATCATGTTTAAGTTAAACTAATAACTATACATTTTTAGCTTTTGCAAGCCTTGAGATTTACTCTTTGGCTTGGATGTTGTGATTTTGACATAATTGACCTTTGTTTAATTCATTTTGTTGCTAGGTTATTTTTGGTTTTTCATTGTTATCTAACAGTATTGTTTTACGCTGATGTTAAAATACAACTGAGGTCTATTTAAAATCTTAGCTTTCTGAGCTATGAAGATTGGGAATCCTGAGAATTGCCATTTACAACATTTAAATTATATATTTCTCCCCATTCTGGATTTGTATATTAACTGGGTGTTTGGCTTCATTGGCTTCAGGTTTTTTTTTTTCTCTTTAGAAAACACTGTAGATTTTATAGATAATTGAGGAGGGCTTGCAACCATTAGTATGAAAGCTAATTAGCAAATTGAAATTTCTATAGGATAGAAGTAGTGCTTGATGGCATGTGCATCGGTTTTATATTTCCATTGTAGTTGCAGCAGTTCAATTGAGACTTTCTTTAGAGACCAATAGTTGGTAATCATGAAGGGCTCTTGTTCCTTACCATACAGGACAAAAGTATTTGCCTTGGGGCCATTTTTGGTTCCTGTTTTTATATATAACAATTGATGACTTAGATCTGTCCACTTTTTCTTAACTAAAGATTCAGTCTTAGCTATTCAGGCTTGGAAAACCTTGTATTAGCTATAGCAGTTCTCCACTTGAAGCTACTATAAAGAATATGAATTCTTCAACTAGTGTAGAGTGCACTAAATAACTGCTTAACAGACCCTTGGAAGTTACTATTTATGCCCAGGAATTGTTAACTTTTCTCTATATTAGCACAAGTCCTTTTAAAAAGCCTTAAGCAAAGTGGGAAAGTTATTATCAGAGCTCTGGATTGACTTTTAGGAACTTCTGTATTGGAGGCACAAGAGGCGTATTATTGCTTCAATGTACCTGAGATTGTGTTCCCTCATAGTGATTTTTATATATATTAGTTTTCTATAAACTAGTTTGCTTTCCTTTACCTAAAAGATTACATACAAATAATGAAATGTGTGTATATTTACAAAACATCTAAGTTGAACTATTGGAATTACAATAAAAGTTTTAATGTTGGATTAATGAAGATTTACAAATAAAATATACTTAGAATATGCTTACAAACATACGTCTCATGTTTTGAGAAGTTTTGTGTGTGTGTTTAGAGTAAGAAGCAAATAGAGCCCTGGATAGAGTATGGCCAGTTCTATAATGTTATAACCAATTTTACTCTCTTTTGACTTTCTAGATTGGAGGACTGTGATGATACTGCTGCTGTCACTGCTTCTTTTACTACAAGATCCTGGGACGCATGGAGGATCTCAGGGCAGCCCAAAAGGGACTATGGATTTTGGTGTCCACGTCATTTGCAGACATCCAGTGGACAAGGCTATAGGTTTTTAGGCATTGAGCAGTGTGCACCTCCTTGCCCCAACATGTACTTCAATAATCATGAGCTAGAAGTTGCCAAAAGCTTTATTGGCATTGTTTCAATTTTTTGCCTTTGTGCCACTCTGTTTACGTTCCTAACATTTTTGATAGATGTTAAAAGGTTCAGGTATCCAGAGAGGCCAATTATATACTATTCTGTTTGTTATAGTATAGTGTCTCTCATTTACTTCCTCGGGTTTGTCCTAGGAAACACAGCGGCCTGCAATAAGGGCGATGAAAAGTTACAGCTTGGTGACACGGTCGTTCTTGGTTCTCAGAACAAAGGTTGCACCCTTGTCTTCATGGCTTTGTATTTTTTCACAATGGCCGGAACTGTCTGGTGGGTGATCCTCACAGTCACTTGGTTCCTTGCTGCTGGAAGAAAATGGAGCTGTGAAGCTATTGAACAAAAAGCCATGTGGTTCCATGCAGTTGCCTGGGGCATGCCGGGGTTTCTCACGGTGATGCTCCTTGCCATGAACAAAGTGGAAGGTGACAACATTAGTGGTGTCTGTTTCATTGGCCTCTACGACTTAGCTACGTCTCGATATTTTGTCCTCCTGCCTTTGTGCGTTTGTGTCTTTGTCGGTTTATCTCTTCTTTTAGCGGGTATTATTTCTCTAAATCATGTGCGCCAAGTCATACAGAATGATGGCAGGAATCAAGAAAAGTTGAAAAAATTCATGATTCGAATCGGTGTCTTCAGCGGCTTATACCTCGTACCTCTGGTGATACTCTTGGGCTGTTACATCTATGAGCAGGTGTATAGGAAGATTTGGGAAACTACTTGGGTTTATGACCACTGTGACCAATTCCATATACCCTGTCCTTATCAGGTAAGCTTGAAATATTAGCATAGTTGATGCTTGAATAACAAGGAATATTGTATCCGGTTTTGGGGTTGGGTTATATGTTTTGATGCATCAATTAGTCCATGGGCAAGGAGAACACTCTTTTGAAAGAATATTTGATGCCACCAGTACTTGTAGGAGACCTCTGTAACTGTTAAATACGGTAATACAGGGTTGTATAATTTCTTGTGTGAGGGCCAAATTCATTGCATGTGTCATGAAGTGTATAGAATCCTTTAGAACAGGGGTGTCAAACTCAAGGCCCAGGGGCTGGAATTGGCCTGCGGAGTGCTTAGATCTGGCCTGCGGGGCTGCCCTGGAAGTAGCAAAGGACTGGCCCACAGTGCCTCTGCCAGTGACAACGGAGGTTGAGAGGGCCACACATGGTCCCCCGGAGCTCCATTTTAGCTGGCAGAGGGTTGCAGAAGGCTGTCGCAGCTGAAAATCAGCTTGGGAGCTCATCTTCTCTGGCAGAGCGCTCAAGACCACCACAGGCACCCCTGACACAAGTGACGTCAAGCTGGCCACACCCACCCCAGCCCCCCCTCTCCCGAGGTCAAACACAACCCTGATGCAGCCCTCAATGAAATTGAATTTGACACCCCTACTTTAGAACAAGTTAATTGTAACTCTTTAAACTGAAGATGGTAGAAGAAGGGCCGTATTATTCATTTGAAATACAAAATTTGTTACTGGAGCATAATGTTGTAAGTTTCAAATCTGATGTTTTCCTGTTACAGAAGATAATTTTTTAGAATTATGTAAATAGATGTGTCTTCATAGAATAGTTAGCAGCATCTTCAGCACTGGATGCGTACGTACATATATGTATTCTCAAACATTTAAAATTGGGAATATCAATAATTTGAATAACGAACATCTTAATTAAATGGACGTTTGAGGTTAACATATAATCCTCTCCCATAAAGTCAAATGTTTAATTTAGAAACAAATATAAGCAAGGTAAGTAACTGCAAGTTAAATCTTTTATATCATTCAAGAGTGTCATTTAAATATTATAAACCTTTGAAGTACTAAAGAAGTTTATTTATTTTTCAAGATCAGGTTTTATGTTCTATGAAATTACAAAGGCTGGTAGGGTAGTTACTTCTAATTTCTAATAAGCAAAAAGAAAAAAATAAAATTCCATCTTTCATTTGTACCATTATAATTTCTAGAGATTCCAGTTTTGAGTGTGTAGAGTAGATATTCTTACTTTGAATTTTTATTCTTTCCACTGTAAATCAGAAATGCCTATTTTTCATTTTGTCCTCTGAAGTGTAATGCAGGAAAACTATTTTTCCATTGTATTTTCAGTAAATGCTTATTGTTTTCCAGGTCAAAACATTAGCTAGACCGGAAATAACTTTGTTTCTAATGAAGTACCTGATGACTTTAATTGTTGGCATCTCTCCAGTCTTCTGGATAGGAAGTAAAAAGACCTGTTCAGAATGGGCAAGTTTCTTCAAAAAAAATCGCAAAAGAGAGTAAGATGCATTTTTGTATTTTGTTGTTTTTAGTTATAGATAAAATGCCTTAATATTATATATTTTGATGTATTAAAATGCCTTGATACTTCCATACTAGGAAGATACATACTTCCAAATATGTATCTTAGGATGCTTTGTGACTTTGTCCTTGTACTGCAGGGATAAAGTATTTTAGGGATATGAATACTGTGAACGTTTTGTTTTACCAAAAACTGCATATGTAAATGGCAGACATATGAGCACTTTTAGATGCTAAGTGGCAAAGTGTACCAGTTTTATGAACAGTCCAAATTCAGTATGTATTAAGGGCTCAAGATTTGACAATTTATCTTTGTTCACATGAAGCCAAATAAGCCAGTAACATTTTTAGCTTAATGTGTTGTAAACCCGAGTCTCATAAGCTAATGTATTTAAGCCTATAAGTTATGAGAGGGAGGGGAGAGAGTGAGAAAGAAAGAAAGAAACAAAGAAAAGAAAGAAAGAGTTTTCCCACCTAATTTCCTTTAGGTGTAATCTATCAGTTAACTCATGGCGAAATGGGTGGCAAACAAATTTAAGTAAATTACTAGTCTAATTTGGAGAAAGTTCAATCTTCCAAATATATTTTTATTTATTTATTTATTTATTTATTTTGTCAAACGATTATAAGATTACAGGTATAAGTATAGACATAGTTTTGAGTACATGAAATGGATACATATAAGAAAAATAAAAAGAAACAGTAGGACAGGGACAGTAGGCACGTTGGTGCGCTTATGCATGCCCCCTACAGACCTCTTAGGAAAGGGGTGAGGTCAGTAGTAGAAAGTCTAAGGTTAAAGTTTTTGGGGTTTGGGGAAGAAACCAGATAGTCAGGTAGAGTATTCCAGACATTGACCACTCTTGCTGAAGTCGTATTTCCTGCAATCAAGTTTGGTGTGGTTAACCTTGAGTTTGTATCTATTGTTTGATCTTGTATTGTTATGGTTGAAGCTGAAGTATTCATTGACAGGTAGGACAAACCTTTCCCTAGCCTTAGTAAGCATGGCCAATGGACAGGGATGATGGGAGCTAACAACATCTGCATGGCGGGGGGACGGGGGATGGGACGATAACATACACTCCACCATTTAGCTAGATAATGGAATGTTAAAGTTAAAAGGTCAATTTTTTCCATCAAGTCCAATCCGCTACTTCGTGTAAAAATCTAAATTAAAGCATCCAGGACAGATGACTACAGTCACACTTGAATACATGCAGTGAGGGGGATCCCATCACCATTTTTGGTAATTTCTTCTTCTTTTAACTATTCTCCCTGCTACGAGATTATTCCTAATAACCTATTTTGCTTCCCAACTTCGTTTTCCAACCTCTGAGTTGATAAAGAACAGATCTTAAACTTTTTCATGACATACCTTTGGGTACAGATAGTCCTCGACTTACAATTGGAGCCTGCTTGTTGTGGTCATAAATCATAAAGGAGGTCACCCATATGACCTGATTTTACAACTTTTTTTTCATCTCTTCAATTTGGGCTTAGAGTTAATCTTGTAATTATCCACATTGTTTTCAGGTGTTCTAATCCTTCATTGTGTTGCTTGTAACTTTATTTTCCTCTTCATTTTATTTTGATCTGGAAAAAGTCCTCAGAGAAGGAGAGCACACCTCTGCATTTAACAACTTCTTCCATTATCTGTCAACTCCCCTAGCCAAGAAGTTCCTCCTGCTGTCTATCCTGAATCTGCCTCCTTGGAGCTTTAATTTGCAGGTTCTGATCCTGCCCTCTGGGGCAGCAGCAAAAACATCTACTACTTGTTCTGTGAGATAGTTCTTCAGATATTTGAAGACTGCTGTCATATCTCTTCTCAGTCTTCTATAGACTAGACATACCCAGATCTTTAACCATTTCTCAAAGGTTCTGGTTTCTAGACCTGACTGTAGTTTTTCTCTAACTAACTCAAATTTGTCAATATCTTTTTGAATAGTGATTCCCAGAACTGGACACAGATTCCCAGATTTATGTTTTTTTCTCCCTGGATGCAGGATTTCTTCCTTTTGTGTTCATTTTCATTTAAAGTATTAGCTACTTTTCCAAACTTTATGTCAACTGCAAATATTACAAACTTTTCTTGTAGTTTGTTTTCATTTCTGCAGATTTACTGTGAAAACTGAAAAATATTGAAAGTACAATCTGGCATAAAATGAAATCTACAATTATTTTGAGATTGACTTGAATGTTGGAGGTTTTACATTCAGTTGATATATCTAAATAATTATAGAAAAAAGGGGGTAATTAGCATTTTTTCTGTCTTTCCACCTGTTCAGTCCAATCAGTGAAAGTCGGAGAGTGTTGCAAGAATCGTGTGAATTTTTCTTAAAACACAACTCTAAAGCAAAGCACAAGAAGAAACACTACAAATCCAGTTCTCACAAACTGAAAGTGATTTCGAAATCAATGGGGACTAGCACGGGTGCTACAAGCAATCATGGGACTTCCGCAGTGGCCATTGCTAACCATGATTACTTAAGCCATGAAGCTTTAACTGAGATCAAAAGTTGTCTGGAAGCATCTGAGAGAGAGATGGAAGCAGATGTTGTACGTAGTCAGAGAGTGGAGGAAGAGGAGATTCCTCATAGTGAACAAAGCATGTTACAAATGCGGTGCAGCCCTAAAGTGCCTGTGCAAGAACAAGAGAGCAAAGCAGACAACAAGCAAGATATTGTCAGCTTGTCTGAAAGCATGAAGAGAGCGGCTGAAGAGAGGTAAGAAGGTTTCTGTTTTAGTTCATATCAACTACTGCATGTTCTTCTTACTAACTGCAAAAGTAGTAAAAATGCAAATAAACATATTTCATGAAAATATACATTAGATGTATAGACATTAAAACAAAGAACAGGCATCTATACACTTTGGCACAAAACATAAAACGTTAGATGCAGTCATTCAGATAGTAAATGTTTATATGGCCAAAAGACCCAAATAATAGTTTAGGTTCCTTGCTGGTAAAGACAATGACAGTGTAGTTTGGTCAGACGCAATAAAATGCAAATGGAGCACAGGTGCACATGGTTGACTGTTGCTCACACAAGTGGAGATAGGTGCATGTACTTGCCTGCCCTTTCCGCTGCCCAGTTGCAACTAATTCACAGCCTACTAGTGGGCTGCAGCCCAGAGGTTGGGTGTCCCAGTCTATGAGATCCCCAGGTCAGTTACTGATTTGTAAAATGAATTTTCTTCCACAGTGAGGATAAATAAGAGTATGAGTACTATAGTGTATTGCAAGTTAAAATGCTAAATAATGAAATCATAAAGGAGTATGTTAAATTCTGTTTTCAATAGTATGTGTAATATATATGGTCCTATTTTAGCAACTAGCCTGCTGTCCATGAGACTTTCTAATTACATTATAGCAAAATCTATTTCTAGTGAACATAATAGCAATAACACTTAGACTTGTATACTGCTTCATAGTGCTTTACAGCCCTCTCTAAGCAGTTTACAGAGTCAGTATATCGCTCCCAACAATCTGAGTCAACCTTGAGCCAGTGAGGATCGAACTGCTGGCACTTTGCAGAATTACCCTGGAATACTGCATTCTAACCATTGGACTACCACGGCTCTTATAATCAATGGCTTTCTGAAATCTGGTCTTAGTCTTTATCAGATATCTGGAAATTATGGGGCTATGCCATAATAAGTATTGACTTGATTACTGAGGCTGCAACTCTTTATCTAATTACAGGTAGTTTAACAAATAGTTGTTAAAACCATTTGTTTAGTGACTGAAGTTATAATGGCACTGAAAAAAATGACATATGACTTTTTCACAATTAACAATCATTGCAGCATCTCCATGGCCACATGATCAAAATTTGGACACTTGATAATTGGCATGTATTTATGATGATTGCAATATCCTGGAGTCATGTAATCACCTTTTGCAACCTTCTGACAAGCACAGTCACTAAGGAAGCCAGATTACCTTAACAGTTGACTTACTAACTTAACAACTATAGAGATTCACTTAAAAACCATGGCAAGAAAGGTTGTAAAATGGGGCAAAACACACTTAACAACTGTCTTGCATAGCAGCAGAATTGTATGGCTCAATTATGGACTCAATTATGGTCCTAAGTCAAGGACTACCTGTAATTGGATTGCTCTGTGAGTTTGAAGAGAAGCCTCCAAATTCATAGGAGAGTTCTGATATCAGAATTTTTCTTCTGGTTCTTGGCTTTTTCAAGCTTTGGAAACTCCAGAGTGTAGAAAACTCTTGCGGAGGATTTTTAGGGCAATTGTACCCTTTGATATGAGGATTCATATATGCAAAATCCTTTCCAGCCATCCATTTTTGCCAGAGCCTGGGAAAGAAAGTGATGTAAAGTAATTTCTAAAAGAAACAAAGGGAGTTATCAGAAAATGGTAGACATACTTTTCCTGCACTGTCCTGGCTTCATTTGAGAAGTAGAATGGTCAATTATTGCTCTATAATCTCCTTTATTCATTTTGAGCAGTGGTATATGCCCCCCATCTCAGGATTAGAGCTGGTTTCCTTCTCTGCTACACAAGATCTTGAAAATATAGAGTTTGTGCCTCATACGTACAAAGTATATGACCTGTATATATTACTCATTGTATCCTATATGTTGTTTAAAAAGTGTTTATTTTCATATTTGTTCATTTCACTGCTTGACTTTTATATTATGTGTCTCAATGTAGAATGTTTCTTTTTGTGTATGTAATAGGACAACTCCTAAAAATGACGTTACTGAAACTCTTCCAGTCCAACTTGGTCATTCACATCCCAGTGTTTCCCAGCTTGGCAGTACCAAGGGATCAGGATTGCTGTTTGCCCACTCATCTTCGGATTCAAGGAAAGCTCACGAGTCTGGTCATAGCTCAAATGGTTGAGAAGATGAACAAATATCAGTTTGTCCACGCTGGCTTGGAATTCTCCCTCTGAAGTCTAGGACCTCTGAGAAGCACCAGGTTAGGAAAAAAACCTGTTTCATGAATAATTTGAGGTCAAGAAATGATTCTATTCTGGGCTAATACTGAACATGAGACACGCATTGTGTCTTGTAAATAAGCACACAAACACCCATCGCACCAAGGAAAAATAAAATAATATTGTAGATAGACACTGTGCACTTATTCCTTCTATAGAATCTGTTACCAAAAATAAAAGAAGAAAAGGGCAAATGTGTAATTTGCTTTATGTCAAACTGTGGTGAAATAATAAACGGAAAGATTTTATATTCTGAAGAATATTGAAGAAAACTTAATTGCCTTAAGATCTTTTTAGTAGTGCTATTTATGCTTTAAAATGGAGTATGAACTGCTGACCTTTCAGATGTGGTAGTCCATCTCCATAAGCCTCAACTCCAGTTGCCAATGATTAAGGATGATGTATTATTACAAGAACACCTGTTGATCTTCATCTTAGGGATTAAACTAACATGAATTGCTGTGTCATACAATAATAAACTATACAGAGTTTGTAGGAGGAGTACTGGATGCATCCTAACAGAATAAAAGGACATTCCTTCAGTAATCTCTGAAAACCACTGAAAAAAAGTCCAGGTAACTGTAGCAACTGGGACTTTCTCAGTTGGAAGCTAGAACTGATCCTGCTTTCTTCCTCCCATCAACTATCTCTGGCCTTTTAGTCTTAGATCTTTCTTACAATCTAATTGGGGAAAGTCATGCCTTGTACAGGTAGTCTTCAACTTACAACTACAATTGAGCCCAAAATTTCTCTTGCTAAGCGAGGCAGTTGTTAGCTGAGTTTTGTCCCATTGTATGACCTTTTTTGCCATAGTTGTTAAGTTGGTAACACAATTGTTAAGTGAATCTGGCCTCCCTCTTGACTTTGCTTGTCAGAAGGTTGCAAAAGGTGATCACATGACCATGGAACACTGCAACCCTCATAGATATATGCCAGTTGCCAGTCGTTTAAATTTTGGTCATGTGACCCACAGGGATGCTGCAACAATTGTAAGTGTCAAAAATGGTCATAAGTCACTTTTTTCAGTGCCATTGTAACTTTGAATGGTCGCTAAGCAAGTGATTGTATGTCAAGGATTACCTGTATTAAATCCCAAAATTCCTGCCGATTAAATGGTCAGAAGGATATTAAGGCTTGGGAGAGTGCAAAACATTTCAAACTTGAAACATTCCTTTTTTGAGCTCCAATTCCAAACAGGTTTAGTATATTTGAAATGTTGCCAGAATGGTCAAAAATTGAGTTTCACACTCAAAATGTTTTGCACTTCTCTGCTGCAGAACGTGTTTCCTCCACATCAGGGGTCTCCAACCTTGGCAACTTTAAGGCTTGTAGACTTCAACTCCCACAGTTCTAGAACTCTGGGTATTGAAGTCCACAAGTCTTAAAGTTGCCAAGGTTGGAGACCACTGCTCCAGATCAAACTTTTGATATGTTTGAATTAAAGTCTTATGGAGAAAGTCTTGCTGGGCAGCTAAGAAAAGAAAGGTTAAGGATGCTCAGGATTCATAAGTGCAGACACTTGAGCTATATTGAGATTTTCTTAGAATCAATTATTATTTTATAATCACCAGCTTGCAGATTTGAGCCACTGGTAATACTGGTATTATAGTAGGTTATACACTGAAATGGGAAGGGAAATTGGAATCAAAAGTAATTTAAATCAGCTACTTTTGTACAGCATTGGAATGTAACGTCTGTTATCTTCTACATTATAGAATGCTTAATATCTAGATACCACCCACAAGTCCTTTAAGGTTTTTGCTTGCACAGAGTTGCAGGGTTGAGAAGGGAGAGGACAGGAATAAATCACTGTTGAGGAATTTTTGGACTATAGTTGAATATTTAGGGTGCTGCTGCCTTTTGGTCTTGAATATTATTTGACATTAATATATATATATATAATCAATTGTCTTCAATAATATTTTCTAACATGTTGTCTACTGAATTTTGAACAAGGTTTGCACCCATTTATATGCTATTTTGGTTTTCCCTGATAAAGGGGATTCTTTACTAAAGATGTAAGATTTATTTCTCACAAACTAGCACTACTATTGTTTTTGGGTTGTGTTGTTATCTCTAATGCCTGCATAAATGTGACATTGTACAACATTCCTTTTTTAAAAAGAATTTGCTTGATTGGATAGAATTTGAATGTACATTTGATAATCCATTATATATGTGGAATTAATTTTGTAATTTTGATTACCTTTAACTATTTTAAACCATGTATTTGCTAGAGATAAATATGTTACCTTGGAATATGAAAGATTATAAGCTTTTGATTGTATGGTTTCAGAAATTATTTACTGAGTTTGTGAATTATGAATAGTAAATCAGATTTCTCCATTGTTGTCAGCAGATACAGCTTTCAGTTCAGTGTAGGTCCAGCTAATTCCAAAGTACAATTCTTAAGGTATGTTGCTCAGAAACTATTCTGAATAGTTGCCAATCTTTTCTCTTGTCTGAAAATAGGTTTTCACATAATGGTCTGTTGTCTTCCTATTCTCAAAATCTTATGAGATTTCAGTGTTTCTTGTATTAATCTTTTTAAAGTTATTTTTGTGAATGCAGGATGGTTTCTTGGGAGATACCATTGGATGACAGTTTATTTGAAGCCTTTAACAATTTAGGCTTTAAACATGGTTCAGTCTGCATGCCCATTGATAACTTTATTGTACAACAATGTCTGCAGAAGAGGGTTGGTGGGCCAATCAGCAAAGTAGGATCGTGTCATGGCACAAACAGCACCCTTTGGGGATACGCATTATGAAATAGACTACTGATCTGATGACACAACAGTGCTTTTGTCGTTTTGATAAAGGCAAAAAGCTTCCGTGGATGTCCATGGTCACATCAGCATACAGTATTGTCTCCAACAATCTGGGTCCTCATTTTACTGACCTTGAAAGGATGGAAGGCTGAGTCAACCTTAAGCCCATCAGGCTTGAACTCCTGGCTGTGGGCAGAGTTAGCCTGCAATATTGCATTCTAACCACTGTATCACCACAGCTCATTTTTCACCTATGTCAGAATACATGAACTGTAGTCGCCACCATTGGGAGCCACTTTTGCATAGTGGTTTAGATAACAGACTAGAAAGTGAGAAATGAGGAGTTCTAGTCCAGGGGTGTGATTCAACCAGTGTAACAACCAGATCGTTGAGTGCGCGCTTTGCGCATGTGCAAAGGGTTTGCTACTGACCTTCTGCAATCCCGCACTCTCCCTGTGTGGTAAACAGCTGATGCACGGCTATCCGCTGTGCCGCGTGAAGCAGCTGAGCTTGAAAACCATCAAATAAAGGTCAGAATAGAGCCTGGGCAGGCGGGCCCAACTGGTACGCTCACGGATGATCCTCTGCGCTACCAGTTCGGCTGAACCAGTAGAATACCACCCCTGTTCTAGTCCCATGTTAGTCACAAAGCCAGATGGGTGGCCTTGAGCTAGTCCCTCACTTTTAGCCCTAGGAGGAAGGCAGTAGCAAACCACTTCTATCTACAATCTTGCCAAGAAAACTGCAGGAACGTGTCCAGGAAATTTCTTAGAACCAACACTGACTCAACCATAGAAGCATTTGGTCACTACCATTGCTGCAGGATTCAGAATCTGATGAGCAACAACCAAAAAGCAGAAACTTATGCTTTTATCCCTTCCTTTTAAATAAAACACCTTGCCAGTGTTTTTCTTGTTGTCCCGTCAGTTTCTTTTTCACTCACCACTCATTCTAGTCTTCCCACTGATTAAAAGCGCAAATTTAAATTGGTTTCCAGTGTGACCTTTTGTGTGTGGTACTGTGGATCTGTGGCTATTCCAGCTCCAGTTCCCTGCAAACCAGCAGGCTTGCTCTAATCTCAGAATTACATATAAGGAGCTATACGTAGTTCTGGAGGGAGGAAGAATCTTCTCTTTCCCTCAGTTTTATTCCTTATTTTTGGTTAGATTAAATGCCTCCCTCCCCCCATTAAAACCTAACTGCTCAGTTGAATGTGTAGATCCGTGACAATTATGGTCTTATTACTTTCATTGAGGCACTTCTGTTAAGTCATTAATGATAATAGAAACAAATGGTGAAGCTGATTGTAGGACATTAACATCCATGTACTATTATTGTTACATTACTGTTATTTCTTTTTGCATTTGTATATTTGTTATGGTGATTGTTTTTGTTTTTTTACACAAATATTCAGTCTAGCACACTTAACTTGACACCCAGCCCTAATTCTTACAGAATAAAACTCCATTAAAAAATTCTAAGGTGAATTCTAACCGAACAATACACTGTGATTTTTGTTTTAAGTATAGTATACTGAATTTTGTATGCATTACATTCCTGCATTTTTAACTTTAACAGTAAATACTTTAAACAAAGAGTATTGATTGCTTATTGAACCCTTAGTTACTGTCTTGTAGCAGTTCAGAGAAACTGACATTCATTCCCTTTGACAAATAATCTATTTTTTGTATACATTCTATTATATGTATTTTTATTCCTGGACTCTAAAGTATTCTGTACTATATAATGGCATGAATGTTATGTTTTTATTGTGCTTTTTTTAAATATAAGAGAGGGCCACACCATTTGTTAGAGAAAAGGCTGTGGGTGAGAATGACAATGGGATTTTGCAAAAAGAATTGTTAATGCCATCTTCTAACCCAGCTTTCTGTCTTCCATATGATGAAAGTGTCTCATTATCTTTGTAGAAGTAAGATACAATTGCCATTACTATTGATTTATTTACCTAGAATGAGAAGCACTTGTAAATACCTTTCTCTTGACATAAGGCAGCCCCAGGCAAGAGTATATTTTTTGGCAACTAAACTAGATGTTTAGTTAATTGAGAACAACATTGCAAGATGAAAATGAGTATTTGCTTTGTTCAGCTTTCTGTCAACAGTGCCAGCTACATGGTTGTATAATGTTCAAAAAGTTCATTTGGGAAGCAAATACAGTTTCTTTGGACTACCAGCAATGAGAAGGAATGTGTTTTTTAATATGTACATCCAGGATTCAGAAAGACCATTGACTGGTAAATCTGTACATTTATCTTATATAAAAGAGTATTTTATGATAAGAATCTCATAGATTTCTTGTGGATTTGCTCCAGATTCAATCATACTCAAAGCAAGCCCATTGAGATCAACCAATAAGCACCTTGAATTTATTGGGTCCATTTGAAATACTATGAAATATTGAAAATAAAAAATGAGTATTCTTCTTTGGCATGTGAATGGACATTCAGTTTCAATTTTTCTGTATGTTTAAATGTTCCATCTTTAAATACTAACCTGATTTCTATTTTCTAAACAAAATCCAAAATATAGATTTGCTTATATATAATTTTGACTTTAATTACATGGTAGTTTTAAATTTCCCTTTTCTGCACTGTTTACAGATCTTTAATATCTTTTAAAAGTGCAAAATCAAAACATGGCAAAGCCTTGAAGAACACCATCAAGATGAATATAGATGAATTGTGATATTGATGTTCACCCCCTTTCCTAATTTCCAATTGTTTATTCATTGTTGTATGTTGTATAGATTTTAATAGACTTTCTGTGATAACAGCAAATTTAAATCTAAAACCCCATACAGTGGTTTGCATTATGCACTTTTGGTTTTAATTCCCTTTCTCCAAAAAAAACACCATACTTCTTTTTCTGTGGTACCTCTTTAAAAATTTAAATTTGAATAAATGTAAACAGCAAGAAGCCAAAGAGGATGCAGATTGCTCTATTCCTTGAATTAGGGTGAACTGACCCAATTGTAGCCCCTCATTTTTCAGTG